AAAGTAGAGGAGCTCTATTATTGAAACTAGTATTATTTAAAGTTATAGACGCGGAGAAGTTTAGAATTATTGATTTTGACTGCATGATCTTGGTAATACGGATATTTAAAGCAGTGTTTTCAACCTCTGAACCGTGGCTCGTTTCTCATTTAAGAACAATCACATGCACAGATGAAACTGGTGCTAGAAAGAGAACTGCAGCTTTTAATGGACGCTGCATTTAGTACAAAATGGTTTGTTCAGACAATTAAAGTTTGAAAAATGATTTAAAGCATTTCTGAATTTTGGCTAAAGGTGATATTGGATCATTTCTGATAACACATAGACGCAACACTGTTCATTGGTTGAAAACAAAGATGTAGGGACATTTTTTGAAATCTTTTATGACATGTTTCTCTTCCAAATAGCTAAATTAGAAACAATTAGGACAATTATGTCTTTGATATAACTGTTGGCAGTTTATCTGAGACATGATTGGCGCAAGTACACACACATAAAACAATGGTCTTTTCTCCACATGAACGTGAAACAAAGGTGAAGTATTAAAGTTTGAAACTAATTTACATTTTTAAGGAATCCGAACTGGCTTTAAAAAAAAAAAAAGGGAAAAACATTTATTGCACGTGCATGAGTTTTTTTTTTAGTAACAAGAGCTCATTAAAAATATAGGGGACACAGTTTGTGACAAGCCCGAGTAAAGACCACGTGGTTTAAACACTAAAGTTTGAAATGGATCCTTTTAGGAAAAATCTCTCAAAGCTTTGCATGTTCTGCAGGCTCTGAAAGTTGCAACAATAAAATAGCTCATGAGACAATTGTAATTGGACATGGAAAAATATAACAAAGTTAAAATTACAGGCCTCTTGTGTTGTCTATATGTTTGTGTATGTTATATGTTTGTGTATGTTATATGTTTGTGTATGTTATATGTTTGTGCGTCATGTCAAGTACACTACGTTGACCTTAACAAACTCTGGACCAATACTAACGTGGGGTGTTGTGAGTGTGTTGTGAGTGTGTTGGGGAGTGAACGAGGAGTGCTGAACGGAATCATGGAATAACAAAAGTTTTCTGTAATGTTTTAATGTGATCATGGAATAATTATTTTTTGTCAACAGCATACGGTGTAAGTACTAGAGATTCAAAGATGACAAGCTTTATTGAACAGGTGTAAAAGTGAGAGTACTCTGGGATGAGTACTCTGAGAAAAGTACTCTGCGGAAAGTACTCTGAGATGAATACCTTGCTGAAGGTATTGGGAGTCCCCCCCTCTGCTGTTTGTCCTGACAGTGATCCGGTCCAACCGCAGTGAGCGGTCATTGGGCGGAGGACAACTTTGGTTTGTAACTCACATTTAGGGGAGTATAAAATTAGAAACATACATATTGTTAAGTCTGTATTTGGCTACAGCCTCTGCCCTGATGCCACACACCGTCTGTCAATGCAGTTATGTTTTGCCCAATTGGATTGATTGACAGGCCGCACCATGCGAAGAGAGGAAAGTGGGTGTTTCTTGTGTTCTAATGTTTGTTTTTCAGATGAAAGATAAACTGCACCTGCTTCAGGGATGACAGTAGTATGAATTAAGGAAATGAGCCTCTACTTTGGCACCAAAGCCCACAATATGAATTGAGGACGATCCGGGAGGAGCAACAGGATTGGAACAGTAATCTACACACACATACAGATGCATGTTTTATACTTTGGACCACGACCAAAAGAGGGGAGTATTGTATTGTCATAGGTGGTCATGGTCCTTAACCTTCTAAATCATTAGAAAGAAGTGTAAAACATATATTTACAAGAACAAATAAATAATAGAAAGGGCAGCCTAAAAAAGCAAAATGGGAAAATTATTAAGTAATTTTCGGAGTATAGGGGGTCATTCTAAATTTAGTGTTGTGCAAATTCAAAAGGAGAAATAATAGCGCTTATAACATCAAACAGATCTACTCTTTAAGATAATAGATCATATAATAATAAGATAATAATAGAATAGAATGAAATAGTCTGGAGCTATAATGTCATTGGATTCGAGGAGCTATAGGTTGAAGTGTCAGAATAAACAATAGTAATAATAGTTAGACTAGTGAATAATCAAAATAGTTCTATTGTGGAAATAAGTATCAATAAGGTCAAATTGTTCTAATAACTAAAGTAAAAAGGAATCAAATGGAGTCAGATTTTAGATGCTTCTGTTTTCCACATCTGTAGGATCTAGTGCAGATGTGTTTATAGAGAGTAGTATTAAAATGCAGACATAGAACGACAGGCTTTAACACAATTTTAAATCTAAAAATAGCTCAAATATAACATTGCTCTTGACGCAGCCTCTGAGCTGCTCCATTGGAGAACAGGTTAAATGTTATTGTTTATTACAAACAGCTGATGTATTTACACACATTAAGTTTGGGACAACTCTTTAAACAGTTATAAGCAGTGGACAGAAGCCATGAATGTGCTTTTGTTTATTAAATAATTAATTTCATAGCCTTATAATCGTAGAGAACGTTTTAAAATAGTTAAAATCCCTTTCAGGCAACTTGATTTAGATGTATGTCTTTAATATTGGAGAACGACTGTGTTGTTTTTGGAATTGTCTGAAATACAATACATAGAATAATGATTTGCAGAACAAGAACCGGCCAATAAAAAATCGTCTATTGCCAATGCAATTGTTACAATCAGAACTCAAAAATTGGGAATATGCCTTTGCTCAAGCTGCAACCGAGCTTTAGAGTCACAATAGAGTAAAAATAGGAATAGATAAATGCATCAACCATAGATGCTTTCAAAAATAGAGATTATTTTTAGCCAAGGCTAATATCAAACGGTAAAAGGACCATTTCCTTCATATTATGTCTAAAAGTATTTACTTCAAAGGTAGATAAAGTTCATTACAGTTTATGCACAGTTTTATTAGATACTGTCAAATTCACTTGTTTCAAACATGGGTGAATGTTGACAATGCAAAAAGCTAATGAGATAGATTAATGAGATCGATTAGAACCAACACAGATTCAAAAACATTTGAAAGCATTTTAATGTATTTGGGTAAAGCACAAAAGTAGATATTTAGGTATTTTTGAGAATTTAAAAAAACTGTTGATTTGTCAGCAACAGATTAGAGAATCAAATACCGTTGTATAGGGACTGACCCCAGAGAAACCTGCTAAAATAGATTAGCTCCTGTACGGATAATACCAATTTGATTAACGATGTACATTTATCCCAAACTGTCTTGAGAGGAGGAAGTGACAGCACTTCCTGGTTCAACAAAATGTGTTTGGAAAAATGAGCAAAGCCCCACAAAATGGCACAAAGCCACTGATAATGACAGCAAACCACAGTATAGACAGATTTATTAGATAAAAACATATGTTTAAGAATAGGGCTCAATAAAAGCAAAATATGCAAACATATTTGTAAATAGATTAGAATAGTTTAAACTATAGTGAATAGATTCAGTGCATACATTACAGACGAGGTTGAAGAAAGACTCAGAAGGACATAGCAGTAGTCATCAAAGAGTTTAGTGAAGGAATGTTTCGAATGTGGTTTGTTGTGTGTTGTTTGTCTTCTCTGTATTAACTCTTCACAGATAACGAGCCAGAACCAAGGCGATGATGGAAGAGTTCCCCAGTCCCGTCACCCAGAAGGGATATTGAAAGATTGTGACCTAAATTGGTTTAATATAGGTCAAAAGAGGGAATAATGCATCATCTCAAGAAATGCTGCACACGTTGTTTATATTTTCAGTGATTTCATATTAAGTGGGGTCTAGTCGAGTCAGCCAGACCATGTGAGGAATGCAGAGCTCCCCCAGCCAGATAAGAGTTGTTTGGAGAAGGAGATTGATGTCAGACCAGACCAAGACCAGACCAGACAGAGTCCGGAGTCCAATGGGCTAGCTGGAGTACGCGCCTCCCAAAACCAGAAAAAGCTGGATCAGACTGGACCAGTCTGGGACCTGTGACGTCATCAGACTTTCTGATAGAAACTGCTCGGAGGAGATTTTCAGGCAGTCTGAGCAGGGATAGTTAGACAGGGAACATCGCAGAGCGCCTGGATGTCCCCTGCACATTTTTCAGGCCTGGAGGGACAGTTAGAATGGCTCAGCATAGGGTTAGTTTTAGAGAATTTAGGGCTCCGAGAGTTTTTGTATCAATATTTAATTGTAAAGAGAATTAAATGTTCTATTTTTAACTCCTGCATTCTTGGCCTTATTTCTGTATCAAATTCTGAACACGTCAGTCAAATCATTTTTTGACATCAGTATCCATTGAAAAGAAAAGTGAAGTACTCCAGGTTTAGGAGTAGCTACATAAATTCAGCTTTTTTCACTTCTGGTTGAATGAACATATTATGAGTAACAGACTGGCAGACCCAACACTGTAAGTTCTAATAAAAAAAATAGAAGGTGGAGTGGTTCCTGGGAGGCAGATGTAAAAGGAGCTTGACACATTGAGGAAACTGCGCAGTATGAAGAAAAACTGATTATGTAACTCTGATGTTTTAAGATCAGCTAAGTAGTTAGATATATACATACTTTTATTGATCCAAAAGGATAAAAGTGTCCTGCAGCAAAAGTACATCCATACAAACACATAATTCTAAAAGTCAAACTATAACAACAAAGTGCATGTTTAACTCAAGAGATCTGTCAGATCAGTGACAGAAACTTGTTGCTATGGTTACTCCTCTGAGTGGCCATAGAGTCATGCAGAGGGTGTCTGGAGTTACTCAGGATGCCCTGCATGAGAGCCCTCATCCTTCTCTCCAGCACAGGTCCCTCAGTCCACACTTCTCTCCATCAAAGGAACACATTTCCTAATCAGCCTGTCGAGCCCGTTACCATCTCTTTAGGTCAGACTGCCGCCCCAACACACGAGCCCAAAAAACATGGCACTGGCAACTACGAACTGATAAGTGAGAAAAAAAATGTTGCAAAAGAAAAGTAAAGCTGAGCATAAGCACCACCAGATGAGACGAGACGGCGATCAGGCTCTGGGAAACAGGTCTTGAAGGTGTTTTTGAATGGAGTGGAATTGTTGTTGATTGGCACAGGTCTGCAGCTCCACAGGTGCAGGTAACGATGTGCCTCTCAGGAAACAGGGAGGGGAGGGGGAGCTCAGGAGGGGAGGGGGAACACAGGTGGGAAGGGGGGACACAGGAGGGGAGGGGGAGCTCAGGAGGGGAGGGGGAACACAGGTGGGAAGGGGGGACACAGGAGGGGAGGGGGAGCTCAGGAGGGGAGGGGGAACACAGGTGGGAAGGGGGGACACAGGAGGGGAGGGGGAGCTCAGGAGGCGGAGCTTAGGGATGAGCTGCGACAATTGTGACTTCACCTTTGCTGTTTCCGTTTATCTCTGCTTTCTTACCAGCTCTAACATTGTGCTCTGTTTCCTCAGATAGTTGAAATAGATATGTTCAATAGCCCTAATAAATATTGCTAATTTTACTCTGTTTGATCGTAGCCATATCACTCGCACCTTAGTAAAAGCAAGTGGTTGTTCAAGCAATGTGATTTCCCATTCAGATGAACAAGAGGACTGCGTGCATATGTAGCACACTGGAAATGTTATAATCATTATTGTGTAGGATATTTACAGAGACATATTAGGCGACAGTAGCTCAGTTGGTAGAGCATTGGCCTTTGAGCCAGAGGGTTGTGGGTTTCGAGCCCAACCTTCACCATCGACTCCCACTGTCTGCTGTCGTTGTGTCCTTGGCAAGACACTTAACCTCTGGGAACACCAGCCACAGTGGGGCGGCTGCGGCTGTAAAGTGCCAAACTGTCGTTGTGTCCTTAGGCAAGACACTTCACCCACATTGCCTAGAATGAGTCTGGTGTGTGTGTGAATGGTTGGTGGTGGTCGGAGGGGCCGACGGCACATACTGGTTGCCTCGCTTCTACAGTAGTAGTTTACCACTGTGTATAGAGTGAAAGAATAATGACAATGTAAAGTGTCTTTGAGTGTCCAAAAAAGCGCTATATAAAACCAATGCATTATTATTATATTCATAAAATCATCATATTGTATTTACATCAACAAAAAGCTATTTAATTGTTTGGCTGCATCTTTTTATTTACATTATTTAAATACATTTATCTATTCATATAATGTCGTAATAAGACGCTTTTAAGACAACCATTGACGGTAACATTGTTGGGTATCCATGTGATTATGCAGAGATTGTAACTCTGTAAAGGTTGCCTGAAGAATCAACATGAACGAGAGTCTGGTTGTTCATTTTACACATATTTGTTTTCCCGATACTGTGCAACCCAAAAGGCCTAATATATTTGAACATACACTTAAATATATACCTCACATGGAGGGCTTTCTCTGCTTCTGAATCTCAGGTTTGTTTTTCTTGTGTTCCTAATGCCATTGCCACCATTTTATTTTTGTAGTCATACTGTACTTACAATCATACACCTTCATGTTACATCTAATATACCCTCAATGACCTTTTTATCAATTTTTAAAAGAAAGAAAAAGTGGCCATTACAGCTATTTCTCAGAACGCATCGTAATTGCTCCACATTTCACACATAGTGCTTTCGAATAGTGAGTGGGAGAGACATTTTCTCAGAGCTGTCTCCTGTCATGTATGCTGTGTTGTTTTGATGTATATATATAATGTTCAATGTTTTCTCACTTTGTGGTCTTCACTAAAAGCTTGCAGAGCATTTGCTTTAGTTTGGAGGTGTTTAAGTATCCACACATTAGGGCTACATTTAGCTGGAAATTGTTGACGCTTGATGCAGGTGTCGAAAGCACATCACTCTGCAGTATCTGTGCCTTTTTTAACCCATTACTTTGAGCTTTTAGTTTCTGTGGCATATTCTGGTCATATGCTGTTTGTTAAAGATGGTGTTGGGGGCTGAGGAGTGGACTGGATGGCAGGATGGACTGGTGCACTGGCAGCACAGTGGAATGGTTGGAGCGCATTAGTGCTGTGTCCTTAGGAAAGGCACCTCACCCTCATAGTGAGTTTGAACGATCGTGGTCACTGATCGGAGGGTCCAAGGGAGCGCAGATTGGAAGATTTTACCGTGTTTGTAGTAAAGCAATCCATTGTAGTATAATAATTGAGTCAAAAGTTGTATTATATATATATATTATATATAGTCAATGATATATTAAATGCAGAGTTGTTGTTTTTTTGGACCAATGATAATTAATGAGATCACAATGTTTAAAATATGAATAAAGCTCTTACAAACAGTTGTATTAAATGTGATGCCTTTAGTAGTTTATACATAATCTAAACTATATTTTGTCACTACACTTATGTACATTGTGTCTGTGATATCCACTTGCATCTCATCTCATCTCATCTCTGCATGACCTGAGATTATTCATTAATGTTATTGGTAATCGACAACCCACTGCAGACTTTCAAGACGAGGATGCATTGCTGTTCACAAAAGATGATATAATAGGCTGTGTACAAATAGGTAATTGAACTGGGGCCTTTGGTCCTTCTGGTCCTGGCTGTAATGTGGGATGCCTTGCCACAAGCTCCAGGCTGTAAAGCCCATGGTATGAATCTATTACTCTCTGTAGTTTTTCAGATTTTTATTAAATGCATAACACATTTTCCTTATGCAGGTTAATGAGTTATTGACATGTTTTAATTTTACCTTTTCTATTTTCAACACACTAGCACAGATACAGTATAAGCCAAAAGATGAGAAAATAATGATCTTTTGCTTTAGTCACTACTACATTCACTTTATATTTTTATTTTTTTTATTTTTTATATATTTCCACAATGTTTTTACTTTAAATAACATGAAGTGTATATTAATATGCAAGTTATTTGATTGTATAGTCAAGGACTACAGATGGAAAGTAGTATGGTGCTAAATCTGGAGCAACCGTATTTTTTATGCAACTGCACATTGTCCTTAATAAATTAAACTTAAACCAAAGATAGGATCATCTTATTCCCACCATAGGGACATTTAAAGTGTTACAGTGCTCATTACAGGACAGAGAATAAATAAACACAAATGTCATTAGACATTTCTAGAAGAACTCTAATCTTATCTGATGCTTAGAACTGACAAGAATCATTTTTAAAAAGCACCCTATACAAATTAAATATTAAAATAAATACGATGCAACCCCAATAAATGGGTTCTACAGTAAGAGCAGCATTAACAGTGATGTTCACACATTCACATATATCAGCAGCACATGACAATAGACGGCGTGTGTTGCTGATGAAGAGAGGCATTAGGCAACGTGCGGAAACTACTCTTTTTTACCAAAGGGCATATAGAAAAAGGAATGTCTCCAAAACTAGGGGAAGGAATTACTCAAAATCAAGGCAGAGAGCAAAAACACACAGGAGGTCTGATTTTAATCACCTGTTCCAGTTAAGAAGGAACTGAAAATGGAGCAGGGAGGAATCTAACCCTTGACTCCAAACAGCCACAGATGCCCCATCTTCTCTCCTCTGTGTCCTTTCGATGTTGGATTTCCTGCATCTTCGACCAATATTAACTTGATCAAAAGACAGTGGCGGCTGCCGGGGCAAACTAATATGCTCATTAGCATTGACAAGGGTGGCTGGGAGCAGTTCATGTGCATTAATGAAGTAAAGGACTGAGCCAAACAATCCTATTCCAAAGCTTTGGAATGCATGGCCAGCCACACACAGGGCTCCCTATTGACCTGTGGATCTGAACTTGGGCAGAATTCAATAAGCCGTTGTCAAACGCCTTTGTTCAACAGCTCTGTGCTGTTATTTTGGAAAGCTTATGGTGCTTTTGTAAATCCAGTGAATAATGTTCAGATGCCCCAAGTCGGATTTTATTTTTAAATGCACACAACTGAAACAGATCGGGTACCCTCACATCATTTTCCACTTGTTCCACGTGCAATATTTTGAAAACAATGACAAATAAATAAATAAAACACAATCTGTGCATATTTTACCCAAGGGATATACTGTATATAGCTCCATGGATGACTTGTTTTTCACATTTTCTATCACTAAACTAACTCAGTGAAGCAATTAATGTAGCCTCCTCCTCTATAGGCCAAGTGAACATTTCATTATATTCTCCATCCACACTGCGGATATGCTGTGCTTTATATTCTGTAGACTAGATTACTTAGAATTGATTGACCACTGACATTTAGCACTTGTTCTCTGTGATGCAAATTTGAACGGCAGGAGCTGGTAAAGGGCATTATTTTCAAAGTGCTCGCACCTGACTCCTTCCGTTCTGGGACACAGGCTGCTATGGGGCTATAGCTCACCACAATACTGTTTGAAAGATGACATTTTATCAGGACAATCTTCAGATGTGAGTATGGGTGAATGCGGACAGTGTTCAGGGCGATTTTTACAGTGTCGGCAATGTTCAGCCTTGGAAATATGCCTCACTGCTCTTATCTTGTATCCTCTAAGTCCTAGACTATATCCACACGAAGACAAAACGCTTATAATTTCAGAAACTTTTTCTGTAAACACGGAGTTAGCTCAGTAAATGTGTGCGTCCATATGAATGTAGTCAATACGCCTGAAAACACTGTGAAACTATGCCAGACCTGTTGGTGGCGCTGTGACGCAATGACGGGATCAAGCCCAAACTTCTGTGACGGGAACTAGGCATGCGCAGAATTTTGTAAACAGACAACATGGCGAGTGGGCGAGCTGGTACTACATTAGTATGGACGGACGATGAGGTTGAACTGTTGCTTCGGGTCGCACTGGATTACAAAACCAACAAGCCATTGTTGTTGTCATTATTTTCTGAGTGCGGCGCATGCGTGCTTTAACAAGAGGCGGGGCGATGACGCAAGCGTCTCAGATACATTGCGGAGAGGCAGTAACCACGGAGCGGCATATACGGAGTTTTGAAATCTTTCCACTCTGGGACCTACTTTCAAAAATGTTCGTTTACACCCCCCCAAAACGCCGGCCTCGTATGGACGATACACTGGATTGATAAAGTATTTTTGCGTTTAGGCCTGAGCTTGATTTCGTGTGGACAGGGCCCTATACTCAAACAATAGTCCTACTCAAAATTGTATGATTTCAAATGTATGTATTTTGCAAACATTGAACTGCAAAGATAACTGATATAACCCACTGCATTAAAGATGCTATACCCAAATGTTTTTGTTTTTATGAGTTCATAAAAAAGCGTATTACTACATCCAAGTTGTATTATTATCCGTATTTTCATTGAAAACTTGAGCTCATTGATTCAGCTTGTGTATGAATTCAGGCCGTAAAAAGTGCTGAGTAGAGACTTTCTCCTCCAATCACAGAACGAGGCTACATCCTCTAGCGTCTATAGCACTGCTAAACACAGTAGCATGTTGCCAGAATTAGCTATAACTCCTCTTGGTGTAACTGCATACACAGCAAAACAGCTCAAACGACACAACAGTGAGGAAGAGAAGAGGGAACTAAAGCGAGAAACTGATCAAAGAAGAAATCAAGCCCGGATGAACATAGCTAGCTTACATCGTATCCTCTGGAGAGACTCTATGGGAGAGACCTGTGGGACCGGGACCGCCTCGGACTATCTATGCTCGGACTACATTCGGACGCGGAACTAGAGGTAATCTTTCAGTTATATAGTTTGTTAGCAGTGCGTTGCTTTTGTACCATTTCATCAGTGATTGTTGTTACAGCTTAAGTTGCGCTCATGCTAATGTTTGCATATAGATCGCAAATAAAACTAGATGGCTCCGTGGGATGAGAGCGTGGGGGAAAAGAGAAGCCTCTGAGCGAGTTGAGGGGCGGGGCTAAACATTCAAACCTTGCAGAAACGGGTTTAGCTCCTTTAAGGACATTCTATACTTTGCACTGTTTGTACTAACTGTTGAGAAAGGACAACGGTTTATTTTTTAGTTCTTCCAGATCGAACAAAAGAAGACAAATCTTTTTTATATGATGTGTATCAATGTGCATCAGAACAGAGACGTCATCACTTATATTAACGATGCAGGCTTAAGGTATAGATAGTAGCTAGCAATGTGGGCCAAAACAAATGAGTTCAGTTCTTGAGATAATAATATTAGCAGTAATAAAGATTTATAACAGAGGTCCAAAGTTGAAAATTTGCAGAGCAGATTCTACATAACAAAAGCAATTTTACTTATTTATTCTTTTAAAGTACAGAGTTGTCACTTGGGGTGATATGAATGAAGGACTGAAAATAGTGTAAATACACACAGGTGGGGCAAACAATCAACAGGACAGACAGGAAGCAAACGCAAACTACAAGAGAACAAATATATAGCCAAATAAAACCAGGTCAAAATGGTTAAAAAGTCCACACCATGACATAGAGTTGTTCTATTCATAATATTCACTCCATCTCAAGTTGTGTTCTCCATTTCTTCTGTTTTGTAACTTATGATGCTACACTTTTAACACTCATTAGCGCGGTGGCACTTTTCAAAACGCTTTTAACTGGATTGTAGGAATGTTTCAATGGATTTTATGTGATTCTATTCTAAGGCAAGGCAAGTTTATTTGTGTAGCACAATTCATACACAAGCCAACTCAAAGTGTTAAACTAAACAAAAGTATTAAGCAAAACAAGATTAGAATCAAAATCATAAATAATCACAGTACATTAAAAAGAAAGATCAAGATATATCCCTCAGTTGTATGCACAGCTAAACAGACCTGTTGTCAGAGAGGAGGCCTGTCTCACATTTTCAGGAAGATTGTAGAGCACTTTGGTTGCCTTGATTGTTGTAAAGGGCTCTATGGATAAAATAGATTGATTGATTGAACAGTGAAAGTCCCCCACTGTGAGACAAAGAAAGGCTTTTATCATCTTAATCTTTTTGTTTTCACATATAACCTATCCTATATTTGTATAGACTGCTTGAAAGAAACCAAATCATGTGCTAAGTCCTTTAAAGTGCCTTCCTATTACACGTGATGTTTTGTCTTAGTAAAAGCATGTCTTTGGAACACCTGTTTGTGAAGTGGCTATAAAATTTGATGCGAGCCTGGGAGCATAAAGCAGGAGCGTAATATACATAAGAAACAGCACTAAACAATTGCTCTGCACGCTTCTACCATCTATTGACACCCACCCCCCTCTGGGTCTTGTTACGCCTTAACACCCCCGTGAGCACTTTCATTTGGCATATGTAGAACAGTTTTCGTTTATAAAGCTCACAATGCTGCTACCTACGAGTCGGACCTGGCCAAACTTCACTAATAGAAATGTTACGCCTTGAACCTGGTGATGGATTTCGGTTCTACCCGGATGCCCTTTGGCCGGGGTTATCAAGCATTTGCAAGAGAACGGCTGCTGGTTCAGACTGAAATGAGTGAGCAGAATGAAGCTTCCCCTAGCATCCTGACCTTTGCCAGCCACTCCATCAGTTGCTCATCACCGTGGGCTCATTTATCAGCAACACGACTCTCGGAGGAAGCTCACAGGTGCTGGTCTGGATGGGGTCACGAAGCAGCACGGGTCATCTCACCCGATCTGGGGCTGCAGGCAATAAGCAAGTGGGCGTGAACTGAATATGAGCCACAGTCAATACAACCAAAGACAGCGCTCGTCGTGCTTCTGCATCACCGATGTTTCAATTACTGTGTTAGTGATGAGAATGTCAAGCAAGTTCGGATTAAAATGTGTACTTAAACTTATAGCTGATATATACAGTATATAGTTTGTTGTTAAATGAGGTTGAAATGATTATAAAATGTGTGTTTGTTCTAATGTTGGCAATTAGATTAGACAGAAACATACTTCATGACTGTTTTAAACCGTTTAAAAATCAGGGTAATTATTTTTAGTAACATCATGTTTTTGCACAGTGATACTTTTGGACAACACTGCGGTCAAAGCAATCAGATGCTGGGTTCGAATTCACCTCCAGACGGGGCCTTTCTGTGAGAAGTTTGCATGTTCACCTTGTGTCTATATAGGTTTTTTCGAGGTGCTCCGATTTCCCCTTACACTAAAAAACATGTAACACAATAGTTATGATTGTGATAAATGAATGGATGGTGATGGTCGGATGCCAGGTGTTCGGCATCTCGCTTCTGTGTGATTGGAGAGAATCCGAACTTTTAGATCGCTTTGTGTGAACTTTGTCTGTGGAATGTGCTATATATTAACATTTCAATTACTGTTGTTTAAAGGCATAAACATAGCTTTCCTTTCCTAACTTTCAGTTTCTGAAATATCCACTCACTGGTTTGTGAAAGTTCATAGACATTACTATAATCTAGCCATGCTCAATTCCACTATCTTATCTTAAAATAGTAATTTATTTGAAAAATTACTTCCACATTTCATTTAATCACATTTACATTTATGAGAGACATCACCCCGCTTTAGCGAGCACTCTATCTAACTGCCTGAGTGTAGCGGAGTCTCCTGGCCAGACCGTTTATAAAACAGAGTAATCACTCACATGCGACTGCTGCAGGGACCAGAGAGGGCAAGTCCAAATTCAGTTAGAGCCTGCTGCTATACAGCCTATTGTAAATCTGTGGCTTCACCCAAAGCAATGACTCAAGCCAAACAAAGGCCGCCTGACACCTTATCAATATTGATGTTAAAACACAGGCCAGCCACAAACTAATTACTTAAGAGATTTGGGCAAAATCATGATTAAGCCATCCTTTATTCCAGGATTAATGATAGATTGAATAATGGAATCCCCCGTTCAATGTTACTCTCATAGAATAGCACGCTGTCTTGTGGCATATTGATGAAAAATGAAACTATTTCACCTAAACCCCTTTAGTACAAATGTTGTTTTCAGCCTTTATGAAAAATAAGTCAAACATTTCTCAATTTGGCAAAATGTATCTTAATATGAGCACATATTTTCTGGCTTAAAACAAGATTTGCCGATGGGACAAGCAAATTATTTTGTTTTCAAAAGATACAAGATATGTCAATGACTGCTGTCGTTGTGTCCTTGGGCAAAGACACTTAACCCCACTTTGCCCAAAGCCCCCGCTGGAAGATCAAGGCTCCTGTGGACTCACCACCTGCACGAGGATCAGTGAGGGGCTGGTGCTCTGTGAACTGGGTGCATCTCTGACTGTTACCCCCCCAACCCAGAAATGGAGCTTTCGCGAAAGTTCACGGTGGTAGACCCGGCTGCTGCTGCCCAGGCCACAGGCTGCTCTTCCTCGACTCATCAAAGCCACGCCCACATCCAGTCAACCAATAACCACCAGGACAGCAAGTTAAAAGCCGGAGACGCCCACTTCCCGGCCTTCTGAAGTCTGCAAGTGTATGTCAGCGTAATGCAATTGTCCACCATGCAATCTTCGCCCCGTGCTCGTACGTCCCCGTCTGTTTCGGGCTCGACGCCTGGCTCTCTGAACGATTTGTTCATTCCCCCCTCGCCTGTGCCCAACCGGAAGAGCGCGCGCCTGGCGTCCCAGGATGCTGGGTCCGTCCGCACCTTCCTCGCGGCCCGCGGCGTCGTGCCAGGTCCGGGTGCAACCCCGCTGCAGCTCCAGCGCCTCGTGGAGCAGCTGTCAGTGGATTCCGCCCGTATACCCCGAGCGCAAGCCCGAGCTGGACGCCTATCTGGGCCTGATGGGGGACCTGGCCCTCCGCTACGGCGGTAGTGTTTTCTACCGCTACCATCGGGCCTTCGCCGCCAAGGCCGCGGCCCTCGTCTCCCAGGCGAATGTCAGGGTGGACTGGGCGGTCATGGACACCGAGGTTTTGCTGCTGTCTGTTGGCGGTGCCCCCGTGGTCTCCTGCTCCCGGTGCGGCGCTGCCGGGCACAGCTCTCCCCTCTGCCCCTCTGTTCCGTTCGACACCGCCGCTAGTCAGGCTCCTAGGCCCTGCGCGCCTTCGTTCCCCAAAGAAGAGGTACATCATCAGAACCCCGTGTGCCGCTCTTTCAACGCCAGCGTGTGTAGTTTTCCATCGTGCGCTTACCTCCATATTTGTAGTCTGTGCAGGGAGGCCCATCCACGTTCCGTATGCCCGCGTCGCCCCCGGCAGGACCGCCGTTCCGGGGGGCCTTCGTCCAGGCCTTGATCACCACCCACCTCTGAACCCCCGTCTCCGTGCCCGCGCTGGCCCACGCGCTCACGCTCCATCCTGATTGGGCCTTCGTTGAATTCCTGCTGACGGGCCTGGCCCGGGGCTTCCATGTTGGCGTGACGGCTTTCCCCTCGGCGTCCTACGTGTCCCGCAACCTGCAATCCGCTCTCCGCGAGCCCCTCGTTGTCACGCGGCTCATCGCGCGGGAGGTGTCCAAGGGCTACATCATCGGCCCCTTTTCCAAGCCTACCTTTTCCCCGTTTCGCTCCAGCCCGCTGGGGGTTGCCACGCGTAAATATTCCGGGAAGAAGCGCCTTATTTTTGACTTGTCCCACCCCCGCTCCGGGCCCGTCCCGAGTATTAACAGTCTCATCCCTCTTGAGTCTTTCTCCCTGCAGTACGCCACCGTGGATCACGCAATCCGGCTGGTGAAGGCCTTCGGCCCCGGGTCCTGGCTGTCAAAGGCGGACATCACGGACGCTTTCAAGCTGCTGCCCATTCACCCCGATCACTGGCACCTGTTTGGGGTAAAGTGGCGCTCCAGTTTTTATTTTGCTGCGCGCCTCACGTTTGGCTGCAGCAGCAGTCCTTCCTTATTTAATAATCTTTCTGAGGCCTTGTGCTGGATTTTGTTAAACAATGTCCGGCTCCCCTCTGTCCTCCATCTCCTAGATGACTTTCTCCTCGTCGATCCCCCCGCGGACGGCTCCGGGGACTCGCTCCGCAGGCTGAAATCGGCCTTCTCGGCCTTCGGGGTCCCCCTGTCCGAGGAGAAGACTGTGGGCCCTGCCACCGCCCTGGAGTTTCTCGGTATCCGCCTCGACACGCGCGCCATGGAGGCCTCCCTCCCGCTGGAAAAGCTCCAGCGCGTGCGCGCCGTGTCGCAGTCTGCCCTGTCCTCTCCCTTCATCACGAAGCGCGAGCTGCTCTCCCTGCTCGGGCACCTCAATTATGCCATCCGCTTCGTTCCCCAAGGCCGCTCTTTCATTTCGCGTCTTCTCACCCTCGCAGGTTCGGTCCCCTCCCTGCACGACACGGTCACCCTAGACGACGGGTGCCGCTCCGATCTGGACTTCTGGTCGCGCCTGCTGGACCGCTGGAACGGCGTTTCGTTCTTTTACGACAATATCATCCGGTCCTCCGACGATCTCCGCTTCTACACGGACGCTGCCCCTTCCGTGGGTTTTGGGGGGTTCTTCCAGGACCAGTGGTTCGCCGGGCCGTGGCCCGCTACTTTTCCCCGGAGCATCTCCTCGGCCCTACACGAAATATTCCCAGTGGTCGTGGCCTGCGCACTCTGGAGTCACACGTGGCAGAGAAGAGGATCTCTGTCATGTGTGATAATCTCGATGTAGTGGAAGCACTGAATAAAGGTCGCTCTTCGTCACCCAACATAATGTCATTTCTCAGACGCATCACTCTCCGTTTTAAACAATTTCATAATCACTGCACGCCACGTTCCCGGTCACCTTAATCAAATCGCTGATTGTCTTTCCCGTTTCAAATTTCAGGAGTTCCGGCGCCTCTGCCCCTCAGCCTGCACGAAGCCACGCGCAATCCCGACCATGGATCAACTAACCCTGGATTAATTTCACCTTCCCTCTCTCACCTCCTCTCCTCTGCTTCATCCTACATGAAAAAGGGCCTCTCCCCCGCTACTCTGTCTACATACAGCTCCGCTTGGAGAGCCTATTCCCTCTTCTGCCACGCTCACAACATTTCTTCGCTACCTCCATCTGTATCTACTGTCATGGCTTTTATAGTGCACTGCTCGGACAATCTCCATTACAAAGTAACTTACATCCGTACGCTGCTCTCTGGCATTCAGTTTCAGGCCCGCTGTCATAACCCCGCCTTCTCCTCTCTATTCTCCGAACCCTCCATCAAACTCCTCATCAAAGGCATTCACAAATGTACTCCCCACTCTTCTGATCACAGGCTCCCCATCACGCTGCCCATCCTGGAACAGCTCTGCGCCACACTGAACTCTGGCTCTCTTTCCGAGTACACGTCTGCCCTCCTTCGCAGCGCGTTCCTGCTCGCCTTCTATGGCTTTCTCCGCATAAGCGAGTTCACCACTACTCACTCGACTTTTAATGCGGCCCTAGACATTGCTTTTTCCGATCTGTCCTACTACCCTGACCACTTCAACCTTCATCTCAAACATTCAAAAATCAAAGGTGCCTGCAACATAATAATAGCTCGCTCCAACACATCTCTCTGCCCCCACAAGTCCATGATGCGTTACACTCGCCTCCGCTGCAAAAAAGGAGATTCTAACGGACCTCTATTTCTCACTCCAGACAACCTTCCCATGACAGCAACCTGGTTCAGAGCTCAGCTGAGATCCCTACTGCTCCTCTGTAATTTGTCTCCCCAGCTCTATACAGCCCACTCATTCAGGATAGGCGCTGCAACGCGCGCGGCCTCGCTGGGGCTCCCCCACTCTTCTCTGCAACAGCTGGGGCGCTGGTCCTCTTCGGCTTTCTCCGCCTACATCAGGCCAGATGCGACCGCTATCCTGGCAGCACAACGTCAACTGGCTTCCGTGTAAGCTCCCTGCAAAGCAAGTAAGCAATAAGATTCTGGTGGCGGCACGCACTTTCCTCTAACGCTCAAAGATTCCCCTGCTGCAACGTCTGGCTGAACATGCGCGCGCGCGCATGTTCTCAGCTTGCTAAAAAATTACCCTGCTCAGCGTCTGGCGAATATGAGCATGCATCTCATATTCTCAGCTCGCTCAAAGATTCCCCTGCTGCAGCGTCTGGCTGAACATGCGCGTGCGCGCATGTTCTCAGCTCGCTCAAAGATTCCCCTGCTTCAGCGTCTGGCTGAATGTGAGCACGCTCCAGCTCTATACAGCCCACTCATTCAGGATAGGCGCTGCAACGCGCGCGGCCTCGCTGGGGCTCCCCCACTCTTCTCTGCAACAGCTGGGGCGCTGGTCCTCTTCGGCTTTCTCCGCCTACATCAGGCCAGATGCGCTATCCTGGCAGCACAACGTCAACTGGCTTCCGTGTAAGCTCCCTGCAAAGCAAGTAAGCTCGCTCTGCCTAAACAAACCAGCGGACGCAGCCTGGCTGAGCGACCGTGCGAGAAGCCTCTCACTCATGCTCTCAGGCCCGTGCAGTGCGTCCTGCTATCCCAATCGCAGGCCCGCTTTTTGGGGATTATGCACGCGAGCAAGCGCCGTGCTCAACAGCATCCCTCCCGGGCCTAGGGCGCCAAACATGCTCAATCAATAAACATGCTTGAATCTAATAAGTCTAACGGCATTTTCCTCATTGGGTCTCTCCAAGGTGAAATAGATTAAGCGGAAGAAAATGGATGGATGGATGGACAAGATATGTCTCCCTTGGAATGAGAAATTAAAGCAATAGTTCTTGAAATAAGACTAAATGGCTTGTTCCATTGGCAAATCTTGTTTTAAGACACTCGGAATGTACTTAAGTGTACTAAGTTAAAAATCACTCGATTCAAGCAATTATTACCTCATTATCATTTTTTGCTGTGAATAAGGCTATGAATTTAGTTTGTTTTGTGTTTGTAGTAAGTCGACGTTGTCATCATTACATGCATGCTGAACTGAAAATAATGTTCCCAATTATCTTAGAATTATCCAATTAGGTCTCATTTTCTGTACCATCATCATTTTATAACCTTGAATAGAGAAAAACAGCTGTATTGTCAGGAGTCCTGGTGCTTATACAAATATACACATAATCCCCAGTCAGAGGCTTGCAGACCCATATGTTAGGCCGTGACTCAAATCGACCCCTTTAAAAGTAATGATGGTTGGTTCGTGACACGCATGAGGAGTCTGTTATGCACCAAACTCATTTTAAAAGCATGGCCTTCGCTCTCCACTCTCTCTCCCCCTTTTTCTGCCCGTCATAACTCTGCCATTTTTAGAGGGACAGCGGCATACAGCTGGGGTCACATGGACCACAGGCGCTGCTACACGCCTGATAATGGCTGATGGCTTTGAGTGGTCCTTCGAGAGCGATACAAGCAGAAAATCCTGATTACATTCAAATTCTGACCATGAACTGGACTTTTACTCTCCAGCCGAGTGAGGACCCACTTTATTTGATGGTCCATTTGAACTGTCACGATCTGTTAGAATTAAGAGAAAAAAGGTCTCTTTAGCTCACACTTCACAATGACTTGAAAATTAGTCGTGTGTCTTGTTTTGTGTGCTGTATTTTGAGAACAATTGCACTATAGTCCAGAGAGTGCATCTTACTTATTCCTGAAAGTAGTTTGAGCTGTAGCATTTTCAAAAGGGCCATAACTATTTTTGTTAATCTAGATTTTAGATTCCAATTTAACTATCATCTGACTCTCGTTCTTCAGGCCAACCGATTGCAGATTAAAATGTAGTTATATGAATACATGGCTTAATAGAAAAAAATGTCATACCATTCTTTCTAAGGTCCCAGTTGAAACTAGGCTTTGAGTTTTCTGTGCTGGATTTGGTAGGCCGAGACCCTTCTCTTCAGCTCACTTACTATTAAATGTCAAAGCGGTGAACTAGCCGAGGTGCTGACTTAATGCACTGCTGAAATGGTGACTTGACCCCTGGACCCTGACACAGCCTTTCAGCTTGTATTAAGACAACAAGCTCCAGACTCTGTAGCCATGACTAGATTTTGATGGGCATGCGGTCGTTATCTCCGTTGGTCACTACTAATCATGTACTTGCCAGGAGTAATGGCTTGGGTCACAGGAATGACATATTTTCAAGGGCAAAACTGTCTTTATAGTTTCAGATGAATTGGAGAGTCAGTGAATTCACACAGAGCACAGTGTGGGGACATTGGCAGACGGTAATATGAGGAGGCTTTATCAAGTCCGTAAAACCAATAATAAAGTCGATGCTTCACTGAGTAGAGCAAAAACTGGATTGTCGCACCAATAAGGTACTTGTTGGGTCTATAAAGTCATGTTAGCAGCCTCCTTATTTAACCTCAAATATTCTATTTCCTCAAACTATTCTCCCCGAGCGCTGCACTGAGGCAACCACTGCTCCTGACAGAGGCCTGAGTGGCATTTGCAGGATGGGTCAAAAGCAGAGGACAAATTTAATAATAAAGTGCATTTATTAATTTATCCTAATTTATTTATTCAAACACTGAGGGCCAGACCTACCCTTTATATAAGTGAAAGCGTTCCACGTTCAATGTTGTTCCAAGATTCAAAGCCTGGAGACCTGATTATTGCTGATAACACTGATGCCTTCAACCATCAGGCTTTGTCCAGCTCTTCTCTGTGCTCCTTGTATTTATATATAGTTTCTCCATTTCATTTTTAATGATGTTAACCTCACTTGGTTAACCACAATGCCTTTCATGACTTAAAAACTCACATAGCCAAGCAAACCTGGTACATTCTTTCTAAATAGGAAATAGTGTATTCTTCAGAAACAAGTTTGAATACTTGCTCTGACGTCTAGTTCCTTTGCCGTGTAGGAATCCACAGCGAATCATGTGAGAAGTTCAAAATAATATGGACATTTATGCTAAATTAGGCAATGTCTCGTCTGGCTGGGGATGCAATTGCTAAGCTTTTCCAGGATTGCTAACTTTTCAGGATTCTCGGTGGTCTCTATTCTTGTACAAAGATCCATGGTTTATGCTTGTTCCTATCACACACCACTATTTTGTCTTGTGCCCCAACACCTGGAGTCTGTTCATTCCAGCCCACTTCCATGAAAGCTTTTTACCATTTTATCACCTGTTTAATATGCACCACACATGGCTGGATTAGTAAAATGAGAAGACTCAGAAAATCCACCAGAAATTGTAGAAAATCATAGAAATTTGTAGCAAATTGCCAGAAATCCATTACCTTTGAATTGTGATTTGATGCTGAAGGGAGAGAAGTGAGGGAAATGTTTCAGTCACAAATCCCAACCTCTATCTGAATGCCAAATTATGTTCCTGCCTCCTCTACTGGTGCTTTGGTTTCCCTCTTGTATTCAGTTTAAGTCACTGAATGATTTTTAATATTTACAAAATCCTGTATTGAAAATGGAAACATATGACTGTCATGATAGCAAATGTTGGACAATATATTGTTTAAAAAAAAAACCCAAGTCTGACGAGTCTGGCTCTTTGGATTCTGTAAAATGGAGTTGTTTGGATTTTTGTTGTTTTGTGGTTGTTTTTGTTGAACATGGCATTAATGCAAGCATGTTGTTGATATAGACTGTTTTGTAGCCATTTCATATACAGTATTAGGGCGAGGCTTCACTGAAGGCAGAACATATGAAGGACTTATGTTTTTTGAAAGCTGAAATACTTTCAATTTGTCGGAACAGGAGGAAATCAAGGGGCGACAGTAGCTCAGTTGGTAGAGCATTGGCCTTAAGGCCAGAAGGTTGTGGGTTCAATTCCCACCTCTGCACCTTCTCCACCGACTCCCACTGATGACTGCTGTCTTTGTGTCCTTGGGCAAGACACTTAACCCCACTTTGCCCAAAGCCCCCACTGAAAGATCAAGGCTATGCTCACACTCAGAGAGCAGCCGTCCTCCTGTGGACTCACCACCTGCAGAGGGTCAGTGAGGGGCTGGTGCTATGAGACTTGGGTGGCATCTCTGACTGCCACCCCCCTGACCCAGAAATGGATTAAAGGGTAGAAAATGGATGGATGGAGGAAATCAATGTGTGCCTCAAAACTAGCATTTTATTACTTTCCAGCTGTTTTTCCTGTTAAGCTGTTTTTTTGGTTAAAATGTGAATTTGATTTTTTAGCTACAGGATCTATATTTTCTCACTTATTCCCTCAACTAATGCAACTATTCAAACTGGATTTATAGCTGTGTTTTGGGGATTATTGTATTATCAGAGGACTTTTTATTTTTGCACTCATTTAAGTTTTAATTTTCAGTTTTAGTAGGAATGTCATCGTCCAAAAAGATTGGATTTACCAGAGTGCTTTAATCTTTATCATTGTGGCCATACCCACATGTGCCAGATCCTGTCAGACCTCTGAATCTAAGCAGGGCAGGACCTGGTTAGTACTGTGATGGGAGACCTTTGGGAACACCAGGTGCTACAGTGGTGCAGCTGTAAAGTGTCAAACTGACGTTGTGTCGTTAGGCAAAACTCTTCACCCCCATATCCTAGAATGAGTCGGGTGTGTACGTGAATGCTTGGTGGTGGTCAGAGGGGCAGATGGCACATACTGGTTGCCTTGCTTCTTTCAGAGTGCCTGAGGGCATGTGTGGCTACAGTAGTAGTCAAAATCACAACTGTATGTCTGTATGTCTTATCTGTCCCCAGATAAGCCTCGGCCACAAAAAGTCACCATATTCTTTTGTAATTTCCCCGATATATTTTTCACACATTTGTATAGATGATCTCTAATATCATATTTTGCATCCAAGAAACTCAACTATGCACCAATCACTAATAATTGATCAATTGATCATTTGTCGTGTCTTACAGTGCTTTTGTTTTGGTCAGTTTGAAACTCAGAAAATGGAAAAGGGTTGTCTAAGGGTATGTGCAAAAGGCAACAGCACAACCAATCAATACAAAAATCACTGCACACTGGGAGTCAGTCAGATGATGTACTATGGCAACCGCAGCTGGAACCAAAGATTCATTGTCCTCTTGCCTTGCCATTACATTCTTTTCCCCCACTCCCTGATTATTACCGTCAATAACTGTAAAGAATAGTCTCAATAAAAATGACTTTGTGCATGTGTCTGTAACCTCGTTTTCTCAATGCTCTCCCGACCGTGTCCCATCTTTTACCGCAGTGATCTCCTCATCTGCATGGGAGAGGATCTACTGCCAACATGAGCACAAGAAATTGGACCTCAGCGGGGAGTTAAATGTGCCTTCAATCTCAACAATCCTTTTAATCTCTCATCAATCACACAGAAGCAGCTCCGAGTCCCGATCCTATTACAGTTTGAGGGGAATAGCTTTGAATTGACAAGCGTGAGATGTGCGCTGAAGTTTGGAGAGGAAGAGTTGAAAGTTTATGCGGTTCTGGCAATTTAATGGAAAAAGAAATGTTCAAAGTTTAGGGAAACAAACAAATGCAGGATTCTCTTGTTAAGTTAAACAAAAATATCAAAGTTTAAAAGGAGATGGGATTGACGTGCGAGGTATAAATGGAACAGCTATGATCGGCAATGGCCAGGAAAGTTGTTTATTGATAATATTTTAACTTTTTGTTACTATCAATGTAGCCTGCAACCTACACAGAACATGCAAGCTCCACTCAGAAAGGCCGAAAAGCGAGAGTGCTATCCACTCAGCCTCCATGCTGTGGGACTGTATTATTACTTCTATGAACTTATTTTTTTCATATGAAGCTTAAGCATAAATTCCACTGCATACGTCATGCAGTATTCCTGCCGGGGTCTAAACGCCAAAGTCAATGAACATATATGTTCAAATGTATAGGTACCCAATCAATGTATCTGCTGGGTTTAATTGTCTATTCATGCAATCTTGACAATAAACATGCCAATGCATTCTTGGTCTTGAGTCTTTACGGGGTGAAATACTGTATCTAAAATTGCTTCCATTTAGCTATGTACTGTATGTGTAATGTGACTTTATTCTTGCTATTCTTGGACTTAGATTTGGAACAGAAATTCAATCAGCACCAGTTTCAATGGTTTTGGAAACAGTACTACTAGTTCCTGAGACTGATTAATATTTTAGTCTTAGTATACTATAATATTCCCATCCGAAGTGTTTGAGAATGTGCATTTTGCTGCTGCGGTCCAGGTAATATGTCAGTAGGAAAATATTTTATATCAACACAATTTGTACAAACCTTTTCCATTTCCCCCAAAAGAAACGTCCACTTTTTTATTAACTGTCTTTTGAGCATCTGCGGAAACTGACTCTCTCCCTAGAGGCAACAGGATGAATTGCAACAAATGGTGGATTCAGCTGGAGGGAAAAATCATTCAAAACGATCATTATAGACCTGGCAGAA